AAAAAAAAAAAAAAAACTGTTTTAAAAGTGGTCCATCAAGTGACAAATGGAAAAACCAACTGTGGTATAGCCATACAATGAAATATTACTCAATTCATATAAAATGTCCCGAACAGGGAAATCTATAAACTTATAGAGACAGGAAGTAGTGACTGCCTAGGGATGGAATGTGGTGGAGGTATTAGGGATGATAGCTGGAAGGTACACATCAGGTTTCTTTTGGGGGTAATGAAAATAAAACTGACTATAGTCATGGCTGCACAACTCCATTAATATGCTCAAAACCAGTGAACTGTATACTTGAAATAGGTGAATTGTATGGTATATGAATTACATCTCTATAAAGCTGTTACCAAAAACAACAACAATAATAGGGAACACAGTACACACCAGATGTAATGGCACTCTCAGAATTCTGAGATGTTATCCACATGCCTAATATATAATGACTTCTTTTTTCCTTTATAAATTAGAACTAGGGTTTAGTTCTGCATGGAAATACTAATATTATTAATTAATTTAAAAAAATTTTAAGACCCACAGAGCTATATAGCCCAATAGTCCAGTTCTAATAAGAAAGTTCTTCAAGAAAAAGATAGAAACTATTCTGGAACACATCCCAAAAATGCAAAGCTTTCCAAATCAATCTATTAGGCTAGCATAATCTTGATACCAAAACCAGACAGGACAACTACAAAAATAAAAACCATAAGCTGATTTAACTTAGGAACATAGACACAAAAGGAAGAATACTGAATTCCAGCTGAGTACAATAACCAAACCAACAAACCAAACAGGATCTATCCCAAGACTGCAAGACAGTTTGACATGAGTTAATTTACCAATTTATTAAAAATTACATTGTCAGATTGAGGGAGGAAAATTATGTGATCATCTCAACAGAATGCCATAAAAGCATCTGATAAAACTCTACAACCCTCAATGAACTAGGAATTGAATAAAATGTCCTTAACTTGATCAGAAGTATCTTTCACAACCTTTGGCAAATATACTTTTGGATGGAACATTAGAAGGGTTCCCATTAAGAAACCAAACAAGAAAAAAATGCCTACTATCATTGCTTCTGTTCAACACTACACTAAAAGTCTTAGTTAATGTAAAAGTACAAAAAACAAGAAATATCAGTGCTGAAAAAAAAGAGACAAAATCCCCTGTTAGCACAAATTTTTCTGAGTCAATTTTAAACTAGTAATTAATACTGTGGCTAAATACAAGAAAATACATAAAAATAAATGGCTTTCTGTGCTTCCACAACTCCCAATTTAGAGATGTGTTTAAAAATATTAGAAGAAAACAATAGTTTTAAGATAGGTTGGGAGTATGGAAAGATCTTTCTAAACACAAAATCCAGAAGGCAAAGAATAATATTATTAGTCCTGACCACAAAGAAATAAAAAACTTCAGTATACCATGGACAAAGTTACAGTAACATTTGCAATATACCTTACACACAGGATTAGAACCCAGACTTTATATAGATTCAGAACTTATCAGTAAAAAGCTCAAAACAACCAAAAAGAAAAATGGCCAGAGAATATATTTATGGAATTTACATAAGAAGGAATCAAATGGTAAATAAAAATATTAAAATGTTCGATTAATCAGTATATAAATCAAAACAAATGAAAAATTGATTTCACCCGCTGACAAACTTTTCAAAAATGGATATAGTGAGTATTTGCAGAAATGGGTATTCTTCTAATGTTTAGACTATAAATCAGTAAAATAGTTTTTGGAAAGCATTTGGTGGTACCTACCAAACCTTTTTTTTTTTTTTTTTTTTTAAATCATTTTTTTCTCTAACTCAAGAGCAATTTAT